TCTTTCTTCTCACTCTTGGCGACGGCTAACGATGCGATCAAATCATTAACTTTTATCAAATCCAACACATCATTGGCTAAATTCAATTGAGTGCTCAGATGTTGTGTGCGCTGAGGGTCGGCGTCGAGCGCCTGCAGTCTCGCCAACAACAGCTGAGTATTGGTCTTATTTGTTGTCTGCAACTCATTGAACACATCTTCAGACGCTTTACCCTTCAGTCTAAACACACAAAAGATTATAAAAACAAAACCAAAACACTTCAAAATGTATTTACTTTGGAATCCAAGAAATCTTTAGTTCACTTAAGGCTTCAGCGAACTGTTCCTCCAATGACTTCTCCACGGAATCGCCATTTTTCTTATCAGTCGACTCTTTAGTGTCTTTGGGCTTCTTCTGGGGTTCGCTGTCGACCACATATCTGAACGAAAATTGTTCCACTTTTTTGCGATTTTCATTTTTAGCGAACGTTATCTGACCCGCAAAAAAGCCACCGCTCGCTACAGTCAACCCCTTTGGCGGCTCCGACATCGCGGCGATGAATATCGGTGTCTGAGTGTTGGGTTTGAGCACTTGAGGGCTGAACTTCTTGCCGTCGGTTATGGCGTTTCGATACGTTTCGTACAAATTCAATGACACACTCGGAGCCAACTTGTATTGAATGTGAATCGGAATATCTGTTAATTTATCCAATTGTGACACCAATTCGTGTCTGATTTGCAGTTTGACAGTGTAGTCGCCTTTTTCTAATTTCACTGAATAACGCGAGGGGTAGGCGTCTCCAGTACCCAAGTATTGCTTAGTGTTCGAGTCAAATATCATCCATAACTGGGAATCGTATTCCGATTCATACAAGACATTTGACAGCAGCGGACACGTGGCGACCACTTCATTGGCTTTGGACACCGAGAAGTTATAAGTCAACAAAATCTCGTATATCTGTCGACCGGCGGGTATGACATCACGATTGGCCAGTAGTGGACGGATCTTATTCTCGACGGGTCTGATTGGCTGAGTATAGGTCGTGAGCGACACATTAGGCGCTATCTCTTCGAAACCATAGTTTGATTGGATCTCTATTCTGGAGATGCTTTCGCTGGCATTCATTGTATACGAGTTAAGGGACGGCTGGAGTCCGTGAAACTCGAGACTCAGTTCGGCGGGTGACTCACCAATACTGGACCACCACTTCCCGAAACACACCTCAAGGGTTCGGCCGCTTTTCAGTTGAATGGCAAACGTCTTGTCCGCCTGCGGGGCGAGTGTGAAGAACTTCTCGATAGAGTCGGTTCGGTTGGACAGTAGGGGTGAGAGTTGTTGGCAGTGGACGACAAACGTTCCGCTCTCTTGTGGGTCGCAGTTCTTCACGCGAACTACCATTGAGTTGACATTCGCTGGGATTGCGAGGAATTGGCGCTTAAAATAACCCGGTTTATAGGTTTGAGTGCTCTCTAATGGCTTTGAATCGCTAATTCTGTAACAAATACACAAATATTTAATAAACAATTTATAAAATCTAAATTTTTAAGATCTAATTTACTTCAAAGGTTTAATGACAGTAATTGGTATCTGAAATACGGGCCCCTTTTCTATGTTATTCACGTCATAGGCTTTGATCTAAAATATAAATTAGTTATTATGAAATCAAAATTAAATAGATTTACTCGAGACATACAAACGTGAAGTGTTCCCTCCCGTCCTCCAGTCCCTGTGGATCCACTTTAATAGTGAAAGCTCTGGAACCGTACGTCAAATTCAAGAACGACGGACTGGTAACCCATTCGCTGTCACAGGTAAGGCTTAAATTCATATAAAAGTCTACTTTGCGTTTGTTATCTACGGTAAAACAAAGCAAATACATTTTAAACTACATATAATTTAAACAAATAGAATATTCTGTAAAATACCAATTTGTTTATCATTTAGAAAAATTGGTTCAACAGTTATGGGCTGAACGGACGGATTCTGGACATCAATCGGTTGTCTCAGATAAACGCCTAAATTCTGACCACTCGTCACGTGAAAGCGGACGTCCCTTTCGATCGAGTCCTTAAATTGAGTCAAGTTTTCAAATGCTTTCTCAACCTATTAATACAGATATCAATACAATTAATGTATTCATTTGCTTCTATGGGATGTCTGTCACCTGAATGAGTCCATTGCCGTGAGTGAAGGGCTCGTAGTTTTGTACTTTAAGGGCAGTGTTTTCTATACTCCTTCTCACACTATAGGGCGAGTACTTGATATTCAAAGCCTTTAGTCCCGACACCAGAAGACATACACATCCGGCGACGTTCGGCGAACTCATAGACGTTCCGTTCATCAGCTGTGCCTTCTTGAGGGTCCAGTTGGGCACCGATGTTATGGCACCTCCCGGTCCACACACAGACACTCCTAGATCTCCATTTATGCTGTTATCGGGGAAAAGCAAACAATTATTAAATTGAAACTAAATTAAAGACAAATACAAACGTTGGTCCGCGAGATGTCCAGCTATAGCCCATTCCTGGCATTTTCTGTCGCATTGAGTACTCGCCGGCCATCATATCGGGCGACACGTACGCGCCCACAGATATTAGGGACGACGAGTACATCGTAGGGGGCGTCCCAACGGTGCTCAGTGCCGGACCCGCGTTACCGGCGCTCGACATGTAAATAATGCCGTATTTGTTGACGACTTCGTGTATGAGATCCAAAACACGGCTATAAATTTGGACAAAAATTATAATTAGTTCCAAAACTATGAGACCGTTTAGTCGTACAAACCCTTCAACATAATGCCCGGCCTCTCCGTAACTCATATTAATGACATCGACTCCGCTTTCAATCACTTTAATAAGTGCTCTAAACATAAAAAACATAATTTAGTCCAAATAAATATACGGGTTATAGTAATTGCAAACCGTATTAACGCGGCTCCCGTTTCCATTGAGCCCAGTCTTGTATCGCCAATACATACGCTGATGATCTGAGCGCCCGGTGCCACACCATTCTTCTCGGGCTCATTGGGGAAGTGTGCGGCCGCTATACTCGCCACATGTGTCCCGTGAGCCGCTGTTGTCATACATATCAACACATTTATATTTACAAGACTTCAAAAAACAATTAGCAAACAAGACTCACAGCACATGGCGACGATCTCCAGAAGGTTTCCCTCGTTATAGATATTGATTCCATAGTTCAAAAGGTCTTTGGATACAAAATCAAGAGTTTAAACAACAAAATACAATCAAATCAATTGAATACCTCTATCGGAAATGGTTCCGTATTTCAAGCACTCCCTATAAGTGCCTAATAGTGTGCATTCTTCTAGTCTACCGGCGCCTGTAGTGTCGATAACACCTCTTTAAAAACATACAAATAAATGATTAGAAATGTGTGTCAAAAACTACTGTAGAAATATCATTAATATTACTTCCAATGATTGCCGTCATTAAACACAACACAATCATAAGTGGGCCCCAAATCCACAAACTTTTTGTCCAACTGTTTGAGGAAATCGACTCTCGATTGCAAGTCTTCGCGAATCAGTTTCTCTTCGGTATTATCCGCTGAGGCGTCCGAATGAGAGTTTTGAAACTCCTGGAGCTGTCGCATGGCTTCGGCGGTCACAGTCTTATGCATGGGTTGCCACTCATTGTCGGCCCACTCCTTAGCCATTTGTTCGCGTTTTCCTTTGGTGTACAACTCGTAGACATTCTTCACTCCGATGTGGTATTTGCCCGAAGGGTTCGTCCAATCGTTGGGAATCTGATCCGCAATCAGACAATGAGATGATATTTACTTCAATCAATCACTGATTTATGCAAATGATGGACACATACCTTGAGTTTAGTACCGGTCAGACCAGTGATGTAGCCCTCACTGTCCACTTCGACAACAGTGGTGGTGTCCACGTCTCCAGAGCCCGACCCGTCCATTATGTCAATCACTTTGGGTTTACCATCGCTTGTGATCTATTCGTTCAATTCAAACCACAAATCATTAATTGATTTAAAAGTACGGTATGTTTGCAATGAATTGATGGCAACACAGACCTGAAGACCGTCGGCACCGGGATCTACGCCCGAGTCGAGTATCGCTATCTTAACGCCTCGTCCATCATATGTGGGATATTTGGTGAGGAATGAGGCGGCGGTGGTCTCCCTCTTAGGCAGTAATGTCCACAACGGGAACGGTTCCGAAGGCACTACTGATCCGCTCATTATATCTGCCAATAGGTCCACAAGAAGTCAATAAAGTGACGAAAAAATTGAGAGACAATTAGTTGGCGTTTAATAAGACTTTAATTAGTTTTATAACAAATAGCGTCTAAAATAATGTTTAGTTTTGATATGAGATTTATAGTTAGTTTTTGTTATCAAAGGTTTTTAATGTCTTTTAATGGCTTAACACAAGTGATAAGAGTTTTAATTAAAATTATTGTCAGATTTGGGTTTTATATGCGATTACAGTGTGAATGAGTCGACAGTTTTTTGTGACACAAAACTATCAAATTTACAGTCAATTTACGTATAAACATGGTATTTGCGGCATCATTGCCCTGGTTATATACATATGTGACAAATGTAAACACAATTTCACTGATTACACAACAAATGAATGAAATATTTCACACCAAAAGTGGTTGAAAATATGTTTTGGTATTTGTTTGACTGTATTATATAAATAGGTTTTTGTTTTGTGTTTACTATTTGTGTTGTGTTTTTGACGCTAAACTTAAACAACTTTTTTTGTTACCGTTTTGACGGCCGGTAATGACATGCATTCAGTCATACTTACCATTAGATTGTGGCCTCAATTCAGTGACAATTAGTGGCCAAATGTGTCGACAATTCAAACTGTATTTCACGTAAACGTCTCAATGAATAGTGAATTGAATTTTGAGTTCACTTTGCGGTCGAAAAAGTAGTTTTCATATGATATACATGTGATCCTATGGGAGTGACACTCGTATATAACGTTATTATTATGGGTGGGCAGAGGGTTAGCTTTATTCTGGATTCTTGTGAACAGTTTTCAAATGGATTTAATTATTATAGTAATTAAGCCATCATAGACTCTGTATGGGTATTTCCATGACATGTCACCCTGATTAACACCCTTATTAAGAATTAGCAGTAACTCTAGAGTCTAAAACATTACCATGGTTATTAATGATTTTGTAAGAATTAGTCTGTAATTTGAGTAACAAATGCAATACCTCTGCAGAATTTATTGTAATATTTTACATATAATCAAGTTAAACTTTTTAATACATTTTCTGTACTTATATTTATATTTAAATAAAATTATTTTATAAATTGTATTAAAATTAATGAAATAGAAGTGAAAACAAATGAATGTGTTTTGTATGAAATGATGGCACTATTGATGAGCGGATGTCATAAGAGTGATGAGCTCTTCGTAATTGATTTCTTGGTTATCGTTGCCATCGATTTCGTTCACCATTTCGTCAAACTCTTCGTTAGTCAACGGGTCGTCGATACCATTGATGGCGTGTTTGAGATCATCGATAGATATGAATCCATTGCCGTCTCTATCAAACACTTTGAAGGCTTCCCTCAACTCCTCCTCGGCCTCCGAGTCCTTCGTCTTCTTGAGCGACAGTTTGAGGAACTCATCGAAAGTGACGGATTCGGTGTCATTGGTGTCCATCTCTGAGATGAGTTCCCGGATCTCCTGTTCACTGATAGTCATGCCATACGATTGGATCANTGACACCGAATCCGTCACTTTCGATGAGTTCCTCAAACTGTCGCTCAAGAAGACGAAGGACTCGGAGGCCGAGGAGGAGTTGAGGGAAGCCTTCAAAGTGTTTGATAGAGACGGCAATGGATTCATATCTATCGATGATCTCAAACACGCCATCAATGGTATCGACGACCCGTTGACTAACGAAGAGTTTGACGAAATGGTGAACGAAATCGATGGCAACGATAACCAAGAAATCAATTACGAAGAGCTCATCACTCTTATGACATCCGCTCATCAATAGTGCCATCATTTCATACAAAACACATTCATTTGCTTTTCACATCTATTTCATTAATTTTATTATAATTTATAAAATAATTTAATTTAAATTCTGTATAAGTACAGAAAATGTATTACAAATTTTAACTTGATTATATATCAAATATTACAATAAATTCTACAGAAGTATTGCATTTGTTACTTAAATTACAGACAAATCTTACCAAATCATTAATAACCTTGGTAATGTTGTAGACTTTAGAGTTACTACTAACTATTCTTAATCAGGGTGACATGTCATCGAAATACCCATACAGAGTCTATGATGGCTTAATTACTAGACTATAATAATTAAATCCATTTGAAAACTGTTCACAAGAATCCAGAATAAAGCTAACCCTCTGCCCACCCATAATAATAACGTTATATACGAGTGTCACTCCCATAGGATCACATGTATATGATATGAAAACTACTTTTCCGACCGCAAAGTGAACTCAAAATTCAATTCACTATTCATTGAGACGTTTACGTGAAATACAGTTTGAATTGTCGACACATTTGGCCACTAATTGTCAGCTGAATTGAGGCCACAATCTAATGGTAAGTATCACTGAATGCATGTCATTACCGGCCGTCAAAACGGTAACAAAAAAAGTTGTTTAAGTTTAGCGTCAAAAACACAACACAAATAGTAAACACAAAACAAAAACCTATTTATATAATACAGTCAAACAAA